CCCGAAAGCCCCGATTTCTGGAATCCCTTGTGCACTTTGCAGAGTTCATTTTCACCACACTTACCCTGGGACATTTTGGATGAATAGTCAGGAACGGTCTCAGATATTGATGATTTCTTATTAGTAGCTATATGGAAAGCTGTTATTTTATTCCAGTTACATTGTAAAGACAGCCCACCATTTATCTAAAATGTTGAAATGGTGACTAAAGAATTTCAGAGAAACAAAATTATCTTCTTTAAAGAAAGTTAATGTTTAAGATATGGATCAAATCATCATCTCCTTTTCATCAGAATTTATGACGTGGTATAAAAACCAAACTAGCAGTATTTGGCACGTTATACATTGATTGGTCTGTGTATACAATTCCCAGCAAAGGAATGAACGTATGCATGAATGTATGCTCAAATAGTTTCAGCATGGAAAGGAAGGTAAAAATTGATCATCCATTAGACTCATCTTCAAACTGATGAAATTCTAGATGTAAAATTTGAATAGACTGCCATAACCTTTCTTCCTTGTTTGTACTGTTTGAAATAGGATAAAATAAAAGTTGTTTCACAGTTTGTTCACTTGCATCAGGGAAACCTCAGGAAATCATTCTCCAGTGAGCAGAGGGACTGAAGCAAAGAAAGGGCCAGCATGAAAGAAGGAAAGGACACTGCTGAGCAACTTATAAGGACTGTCATTTACCCACTGTCCATACAGACATTTATTTTTCAGAGCAATGATAGTAATCAAAACATATTTTTCCAGTCCTTTACGTGATGTAATCAAAATCAGTGAAAATCACTGAATAGAAAGTATCCTCCATACTTCAAATAATTTCATGTAATTTCATGAGAGCTTAAAAGAATACTCTTAGATGTGCTTATTCTTGAAAGCCTTAAAAATGTATAAAATCAATTTCAAATAACAACTCACTCTCATTTTAAAAATAAATTTCTATGTGTACAAAAACAAAGTTACAAAATAATTGTTAAATTTGATATTCATGAAGTATTTTCCATCTATATTTTGTCAGAAAAATCAGAAATATTTACTGAAATGGTTAAACATCCTATCCTGCAAAGACAGACACAGAATTCTACGATAACAGAAGACTCAAACTCTTTTGTTATAAAATAGGAATATAAAATATCCACTAAGAAAATGGAAGTATCTTTAACCAAAGTACCATGCTTAAAAGAGTTAGCATTTAAACGTTTCACAGTGTAAACGCAGGAAGTCAGTGTGTGAAGGCCTCTGAAACCCCAGTTACCTTCATAAGAGATGCCCAACAAATGACAAGTAAAGGACTATTCCTGTTGAAAGCTCTAACAGCAATCTTTGTAATGTAGCAGTTTTGTTTTGAAGTATTTTAGACATCCTTTTTTTCCTACAGAAGTCATTGGATTCTTCTTTAAACCATTAACTGAAGGCACCAAGACAATAAATCCATTAATTTACAAGAGGGGTTTTTTGATTTATCTATTCTCTCTTCTTGTTTTCACTGACTGGTAAGTCATAAACAATAAAGAGCACCCACCTCATTCTCCAAAATAGCTTTGAAATTTGAAGATTTACTAAACATAGAATGATTGTCTATTTAAATCTTCAGTAATTTTACCATACCACCCAAGCACCATAAATCACTAGTGACATTGGCTAACAAGGGTTTAAGAGTTGGAACATGCAGTGTAATAAATTTCCAGACAGTTAAAAATCACTATAATTTTATTCTAATGCATTATAGATTGCCTGTAATGTCATCCTGGCCGGGGTGACCCATTTCTAATTTTGAACAGCTGTTCAGCTCGGGAGTTAGTTAATGATTAAATATAAATTGCCTGATTTATTAGTCTGAATGGTTGAGCTTCCAGGTCAATGCTATATAGACAAAATCATCAGTCTTGATGCTTATCAGAAGTTAACTGTCTCCTGTTCTAGTCAAAAAGAATTTATTCTCAGAGGAAAAGACTTGACGTTCTCAATTAATCCTTTTAAATATTTTCCCCCTTAACTTACACAATAAGATCACTAATAAAAACTCAAATCTTGGAGAAAAACTTCTTTTAACTATGTAGAAACCTTCGAATCCAAGACTTGGAGACTACCTATGGGCAAAGGCCATTGGCTTCCACAGAGCTTCCAAAGGCGTTGGGGGTCTGCAGGGTCAGGCTAACGGTGACTGTCTCGGGCATCTTGGGGCAACCAAAAGTTTTCATATGCAGATAGTAACAATGACTTCACTGTTTTGCTACCAAAGCAAATATAATATACACATTTTATATTCCTACACATTTTAATTTCAGAATCGGGTATCAAAAATGGATCTGTTTTAATTGCACTGGGGGGGGGTTTATTAGTTCTATACTCTTACATTAATTTGTTTCTAAACTGATTTAATCTTCTTGACTGCCAGCCTCTGCCAAGAGATTTGCATAAACAAAAGTATTCAACTCTTAGAAAGCGAGATCACAGGGATTTTATGAAATCCGACTTAAAATATTTATTCAGACTACCTTGGGAACTAACGTAGTAGTGTAAATATTCTTTGTACTTTTTGTTTCCTGTTATTTACACTTATTTGTCAAAAAGGAATGGTTAAAATTCTAGATGATGAATTGAGACAGCACGATTTCTGTAAAGACTTAGGAGAGACTGCACAGCTAAGCTGTGGCTGACTTGAATGGTTACTGACCGTTAAATAGCCATGTGTTAGCTTTAATGATGTTTGTCTGCAAATAAAGGTAATAACCACACTGAAATATATATAATTTTAACATAAATACATTTCATTCTTATTTAAAAATTAATAGTTTCTGCAAAAGGAAAAAACCAAAAGCAAACAGCAAATATCTGACCGGTGCCTTCCACTTATTTACAATCTAAAGTGCAACGGGGGCAGATGCAGGGTGACTCCATCCTGACCTAGAGGATTATTCAGTCTTTCTGCTCATTAACTAGAGGCTGCCCAGCCTGTCACAATGTGTTCACAGTTGTGTATAAATGTGGTGACTTAGTTATCGAGACTTCTCTTTAGCAATCATGCCAATATTTGTTGCTCAGCAATACATGATTTTTAGGAATTTTACTTCTCAGGATTTTATTATGGGTTTATTTGTGGTTTGGGTTTTTTTTTCCATTTAAATGATTTCTAATAAAAGTCATCTTGTGCCTGTCCCCTCTCCCCAGCCTTTTTTTCCCCCCACACTATCCTCAAAAATTTAAGTCTAACCTCATGCTCAACAAAACATTTAAAATATTTCAAAACTCACAGCAGCAAGAATATTCAGGCAAAATCTTCTTACCTCAAGTCCCTTGACCAGCCTGTTGGCCAGCTCAATAGTTTTGTTTGTTCGATTCACATCATCTTGACATTGGACTTTCTCTGCAACTGCTTTCTCAAGTGAAGCTGTGAGCTTACTCAGATTGCTATCCAGAACCTATTCAGAAAAGGGATGGGTAAACACTACAGCTTAAGGTTTGCTGGTTTTTTTTGGTGTTGTTTTTTTTTAATTTTATTTTCTATAATGTATTTTAATGACAATAATTGTAGACAGTACTTTTAAATCTGAAGGATACAAGCTTTAGAGGAAAGGTTTTGTTGTACTCTGTTCTTTCAACAGCTCCTAGCACAATGTAAGTATACTAACTAACAACAATTTGGAACAAAACCGTCATTAGAATATCTTACCAAGTATCTATTTAAATGGTGGAGATCAGGTGCTTGGAGATAATAATACAAAGAGAAATGTTTCTGCACGACGACAATGGCCTGTATTGCAGTAGGATCTAGAGATTGCAGACAAAACTGCAAGTTTATTGTGCTAGATTCAGTAGCAAACATCCTAGGCCATTTTAACTATGTCCTATGCATTCTGGAGCATTTAAAATTGTGTCAGAGAGAAAAAAAATTGCAAGAAAAGAATTATTATTTTTATTTGGTATATGAGCCTGGTGGTATAAGAAGATCCAGCAATTTGCTCTTGGGCAGAGAGGATGGTTTCACCAGTGGCAGAAAACAAGCAGATCTCCTGCATGCCAATCCACACCTTCACCAAAGGTCTTTAACCACACTTTTATGCACTCTGCTCAAAAGGCAGCAACATGCCCTCCCTCTGCTTTCAGGAATTTCATACTGAATGTACCTCAACTCAGTAGCAGCCACTGCCCACCCCCAAGTGAGATCCTGCAAATTCCTTCTCATGCTGCTCGGACATTTTATTTTCTTCAGTCTCTATCACTCCTGCCAGACAACTGGTAATTTGCTGAGCTGCAGCATTTTCTCCAGATTCTCTTAACTGAGCAGCTAGGATGACACGGGATTTTTAGATAAAAATATGTAAAATTGTTTCTGTTAATGCCTACTTAACTAAAACAGCTGAAAGATGCTTGGCTGAGGAGCTATCCTGTTATTGTTGCTGAAGATACAACACCCTGTCTTTCTGAAAAAGTCTAAAAAATACGGTAATAATCAGTTAAGAATAGTTAGTCAACAAAACAGGGGGGGGAGGAAATTACAAGTTTCTTCTGGTTGTAAAAATAAAACTCCAAACTACTGCATTTGTTTATCAAAAAGAACAAATCGAAGAGAACATCGAAAAGAGAAAAACCACCCACAATGTGTTTATCTCAGTTTTCCCTTTCATCAGGAAGATAAACACTTACATTCTTTCCTACTGTATCAGAAAAAAAGAGAATCCTTTCCAGCTCAGCAAATGAAGACGACCTAATGAAAAGAAAGGTGTTAAAAAAGTCAGATAGTTGAGTGATAAAAGCTAAGACGTTAACACCTTGAAAAGTACTATTTTTACAAATAATCAGGTGAGGCAAAAGTTGAATACAAGAACAGGACTTGAAAGACCATTTTGAAAAAAGAAAAGACAAGGCAAGACAACAGAAGTTGCAGCAGGCAAGTTGCCTGAAACTGTTTTGTTTCTCTAGAGTAACTACAGAACTAACAGCAGTGAGTTCCACTTTAGTACAAAATTTTCCCATCTCAGGTTTAATGGAAGAACCGTAACAGGAGCAAGGAGTGCATATCTCCACAAACCCTCTGTGGTTTTGCAGAAGAAGAGTTAGGGCTCACCTGCCAAGTTTAGTGCTTGAATTGGTGGTGTGCAATCAGGAAATTTCAAAATAATATATAAATTAAACATAAGAAATTAATTGGGAAAGGGGGAAAGATGAAATTACAACTTAGAGCTTAATAAAGAACGTTGGCTTTATTTCTTAGGGATAATGAGGCAGCCAATCCACTTTTTAATGGTGATGGATCTTAAACTGATAGACTAATGAGGATTTCTGCTCAATAAGGGCATCTCACAGAGATGGGCTATAAGTAAAATACCATCAGTCTAGCATGCAAGGCATAAGAAGAATGAACACAGAAACAGTCCTCTACTCTTTTTTTTTTTTTTTTTTTTTCAAGAGAGACTTATTTTTAGGCATCATAATGCGTTTGCCTGCATTATAACATAGACCTGACCATAGTTCAGGTCCACTCATCCATCAAAGGCTCAGGTAGTAAAGATGGCAAGAACATTCTTCTGCAGTGAGACGAACAGTAAGGAATGCCCCAACATCTCTGGAGGGTTTTTTTTGGTACATAATAGTCTCCTTTATCAGAGCATTTCCTACTTCATGACTTTAGAATAGGAAAGATGTCACTACAAAACATGCCATTCCCTTTTGTCATTCTTTCATAGGATGCAACATAAATAAAGTTAAGTTGAGCAACAGCAGGATTACAAATTGCATTTTATACCCCAGTACTCTAAATTCTATGGGATAATTCACGTGTTTTAAAAATGCTTGTTATTGAGAAAGTTAGTGCCAGGGTGTCGTGGTTTAACCTCAGTCGGCAACTGAGCACCACGCAGCCGCTC